GTTAATGGAAATCACGTTAGTGATGAACTGTTTGTCGAGATACAGTATTTTAGAATATGATAATGGATACCTTTGACATCGATATTTCACCTTTAATATCAGTTAGCGGTAACTAGAAAGGAGTATCTAATTTCGCACGATATTCTGCGGCTGCGTTCAATTTTGATCGCGCGTCATATCACGCAGAAGTTTCAAATTTCCCGTGCCTCTCAATCTCAAATTCCAATCCGTAACTTGCAATCCGTCGACACGGACTTCATTAGGGTGGTTTCGTTGACGGTGTATCACAGTGTTACGACGCTTTTAACTGTAGATAGAATACTCAACAATTTGCGACACACGTCGATTGTAATGAGTCGAAAGAATGTTTCCTTGTCTGTGGTTCGTCTATAGTGAGTCGGTTTCATGATTGCGGTTCAACGGTTTGCGGTCCATGCGATACCAAACTTACGTACGTAATATCCGTACACGAGACAGGCCATTGAACGGTATAACGGTAGAAAATCACGTTTTTCTCTCTTTGAGGAATAAAAGAATGCGTACATAAAATCCAGCTACTTTATAGCCACTATATACTTTTAATAGTATTAATTAATAAGGCAAAAAATTTTTACAAAAAGCGATCATGCATATAAAAAATATAGACATAATTAAAGTAATAAATATCGTAAATTATGATTATTAAATCTATTACTTTACTATGCCTATTCAGTATTTTTGTTCAGAAAAAAACAAGATTGCGTATATGGAAAGAATAGTTTGCTAAAGTATCTAATTGTAAATACTCAGCTAGATACAGATCTGAAAATAATTCTCTTATGCCCGTTTCCACCAATGTAGACTAACTTTAATCTCGGTTTAACTTACTGTTCATCTTTTTTTAATTTTTAGAACTAGAAAAAGACGAAGAGCAAATTGAACCGAGATTAAAGTTAATCTACATTGGTGGAAATGGGGATTAGACCATCAAAATGACGCAGGACGCCCAAATTGGTGCTGGAATGTTGAAACTTTTTGCAGCATCGCTCATTATGTTTGAACGTTCTACATAATTATTTTAATGGCTCAAAATTATTTTCAGATCATATCCAACTAAAAGTACGTTACATACTTCAGAGTTTGTCACAAAATCCTCATCCTTTCCATAACTTTCCCTGATTTCTACATAAAATTTCATTATTTTTCCTGATCCTTTCAATAATAATATATTGAAACTTTTTGTATTTTTATTCTTTTTTAGAAACAAATATTTTGCTGATGCAATTTAACATAGCAAAGTAAATTACTATTAATATTGCTGACACAGCTTGTATTTAATTGTTAAGTTGGTAGTTTCAAAACTGCATAGCTGTGATGTACGCATATTAAACTTCTTTAAAGTCAAAAATTTTAATTTTTCAGAAGAGTTTAGACAAAACGATCTGATTTTTCCCTGATTTCCGTTTTGTGGCAATTTTATATATTTCAGAAAAATCGCTCTTTTCGTGCTCTCTAAAACTCTTAGAATGAATCTCACTTTAAAATCTCATTTCTTAAAAATTGCAAATTAAGCCACTATTTTTCAACCGACTCAATCTTCGCTCTTTAGATTGAGATTGCACTCCAAAGAATCCTACTCGATTCAGCAGAGACATTTTCTACCTCGTGCTACACAAGGAGAATAAGAGTTACATCGACGAATTACTTGCCATCTGAAGTGGGTTCGAGAGCGAGATTTACGTCATATTTATTCATACGATCCGACGACGTATTAACGTTTACAATGGAAAATAAGCACTTCAACCGACAACTACCGACTGACTGTGTACACGAAACGTGTAAGCTTTTCCACACTACACTCGCGGCAGCAGATAGACTTTGCGATGTAAATGAATATTGCAAGTCCTACTAACTGTTACCGGTATGTCACTGGTCACTAGACACATATATATGCACGTATATGTATACCTCTGCCACCCGAAAAGCCTCTCGTTTGACGACCCTGAGGCTCGTTTTCTCTCTCGATTTGTCCGCATCGATCTCTCTCATCGGACAACAGCCGAATTTTAGGATGCTACGATTTACTGCCAAATATTCCTGCTCACCTCGCTCCTGCGTTAACAAGCGTTTGTCGCGTGTCGAATCGACGAAGAACGTCATTGCTCGGTCACGTTTAATGTTTAACTGTGGCGAAAGCAATAAGAGAGTCTACGAGAATTTGTTCAGTTTCTGAAAATCCCACTTTGTTACTTTTAATCTAAACATTCGTCATAACGTGACAACAATGCTCTTAGAAATTGAAGAAAAGAAAAGCAAGAATTTGCACAACGTCACGTATCTTATTTGATGCTACGTATGAAAAAAGAAAAAAGCTTTATCGATACGTGATCTTTTAATGCTACTTCAAATATCATTGGAATTTATACATCTTATGTAAATTCATCGCGCGTCACACATATATATATATATATATATATATATATATATTACGCAATAAACTCTATAAATATTTAAAAGCAATCTAAGTTCATCGAGTCGAATATCCAACTCGGCTCCAAGTCTTAATGCGAATTTGTATTCGAATTTGTACTCAGCGCACTGGACGGATAGATAAAAGGAGACGCCATGGAAAACGACAAATTAATCACGCGTCTACGACCGATAATAAAGCTATCAACCAGCGAAATATCTGACTCTCTCGTGCGCTCTAAAGGCCCGACCGGATTCTCTCTTTGCAGAGCAAACACTCGGGCAATCGCGTCTAACGACAACGACGGTTTAATACGCCTCCTATTTGCCCTCGTCGGCAGCAAATAGAAGAAGAAGAAACGCACTAAACTCCTTTAAATCCGAAAAGTTAAAGCCCTACGGATAACGTTTATCCAAGCATGTGTTTCTATCGACTCTATAACCGATCGGAATCAACTTTTTCCCGGTCAAGAAGAGTATCGAGTAATTAACAGTTGAAATAATTAACCCTCCGTTACTCCGCGTGAAGTTCCTCATTCTATAAATTCGTTAAATGTATACCTATTATTACTTAACAAAATTGATAATTATTAAGTCAAATTAATGGTTCTTATATGAAATAAATATGTTTAAGAGTAAGTGAATATATCATTACTACTTAAACAAATATTTATTAAAGTTTAATATATTTAAAAATAATTATTAATCAAAGGCTCGAAAGAACAAATCAAATGTACTAAAAAGTGCCTACGAAAGCCAATACAGGATATACGTGTGTAAATATAATTTATTTTTTTAATATATAGACAATGTATACGTTTCGACCCCAGTTTTGAATCCTCTTCAGTACAAAAGAAAAAACATCACATTTTAAATATACTAATTAGTATATTTAAATAGTAATTAAACACACTAAGTTTATATAAATTATTATGATTAAAAAAATTTTGTATGTATCTTTACTTAAAAAAAAAAAAAAAATATTATCAATCTCTCTTTATTTAATTAAAAAATATCAAAAGAAACATTGAAAATTGTGATATATATTAGGATGTCAGAAACATGAATAATTAACATTAAAAAACCATTTGAGTAATATTGGATGAATAAATTAAGACCAAGTATTTCTAACGAATTAAATTTCAGATGAAAAGATAAATGAAAAAAGAATGCTTTTCCATTATCCTCAGGTAAATTTCAGCAAAATTTAATTGGCTAACGAATATGTTAAAAAATATGTTGAAAAGATAAAAATTTCCTTCGATGTTTTTGTGAGAGGAAATAACTTCAAATTGATCAAAGAGCAGCTGGGGATCAAAGGAATAATAATCTGGAACACTTTACGTGTAATGTTCCCCTGCACGGAAACAATTGAGATGCTATAAAAATGTCGACTTCAACGAGTCACTTTCGTACTTAACATCAAAATCACTACTGATGTTCGTATGAAATTCTCAGATAATTCAGTATTATTGAACAATAGAAACCATAATAGATAGTTACTATGCGAGTTGCTATCAAACATTAACAGAGGCGGACGAGATATTCGCATACTTTGACAATATAACGTGACGATATAATGTGTGATATCAAATGCGCGGAGTTTCAGGACAATTCTTAGTACATACGATTGGGTGTTCGTATCCTTTACATTACTTTCCTTCGAAAGGATCAAGTCCGTTAATTAATTATAACATTTATATATACAATTCTTTTAAAAATATTGGGCTGGAAGAAAAGTTCTACAGTATTTAGCTCAAAATTGTATATTGTACATTTAAAAAAATTAGCGATTATAGTTACCGGCATTAAAAGTAAATTTACAGCAAATGCCATGAATTTTTTAACTAAAACATAATGGTTAATACATAATGGTAAAAAAAATTGTATTATATATGTAAAAATTACATAATAATTTTCAATATACATATATTTGTCAAAGTGATGAAAATTAATCCGGGACACAAATAATCCATCGTGTGTAGGAAAGGACTAGAGATCATCGTGTGTACCAGAAATTAAGATAAAAGCGTCATCCAGCAACTCGCGTGGAACGATGTCCGAGGGATCAACACGCGACAATCTCTCCAGTTCCGAAACAAGCACCTGTCCGCGAACAGCCGTGAACTTGGGGGGGGGGGGAGTCGTGCGTGCGTGCGTGAGTGCGTCGCGAGAAACGCGGGAGCGTGAGATCGAAACGTGAATTCTCGTCCACTCCTCGCCCCCGGCGTCTCCCCTTTCCCCAGACGTCTTACCTCGACGCCGCGCCGGTTCGGGATCTGTCACGCTGGCTCTCACTGAGGAACGCTCGAGATGGCACCTGGAGGAGCCAGCGATTCGGAGCGAAGCGGGACAGAGACACAGAGATCCGGCGAGCAGAATGGAGCGTGTCATCCACGCGAGAGGAGAAAGAGGCAAGGACGCGTCGCGGGAGGAGGGAAGAAAAGAGGGATATCGTTACCGACAGAGTCTCTCGCGTCCGCGCTCCGCTCCGCTTCGCTTCGTAAACGCGAGAACGACGTTTTCGTCCCATCTTTGTCTGCCGCACTTACTTCTGGGTGCTGACTAGCCGCGAGCTGAAGGCGCCAGGGGATGACGATAACAACGATGACGCTAATGACGGCGGCGGTGCAGCTCTGGAGAGTATTCGCCGGCGGCGAGCTACGGCGCACGTACACGTCCCTCTCGCAGACTCATCCGGTATAAGCCGGACACTGAGCACTCCGGTTTAGGATGACGGACAACGCGCGATCGTATCGGCGACACGAAGAAAGCACAATGGCCGACCGCGCGCGGTCCCGCGGCCACGATCCGCTGCACGAGCCCACGAGGTGCGCTTCTTCTTCCCCCCCCCTCCCCCCTGCCCTTGACAGAAAGAGATAGAGAGAGAAACGCCGCGGCTGGTCCTCCTTCTTTTCTCTTTTTCGAATCGGAAACGCGTGCTCCGCACGATAACGCGATCGTCGTTATAATACGAGGGATACTATAATAATACGAGGATACCGAGTAAAACGTAGAAACGTCCGCTTGATGATCGGTTCCGTCACCGTGTGTGTGTGTCTGTGTCTGATCGTGCAAAACCTCGTTCAGTCGCTCTCGTGACGTCAAGCCGCCACAAGCCGCACCACGCGATGGACAAAAACCGACTGACTGGCGTGCCGCGAGGCGGCGAGGCGCGAGGCACCCGTGACGGATAAGAGGTTATAAGTATAGTGGTGGGGAAGCGGGAGCCGAGCCGGCGCGCTTCTCGGCGTATAGCGTTGGCGGAGAAGGACGCAGCGTGTCTGCTCTCGCCGGGCGCGCGCGAACGGGAGTGAGACGGCGCGTAGCGCGGACGGCCGCGATTGGGCGTGGTGGAGTCCCTAGACTCTATCGACCGCCACCAATGCGGTCCGCCATTGTTCGCCACCCCGGCCGGCGCGCGAGTTTCAAATTAAACGGTCGTTGATCAAAAATGATGTTCACAATCCTGCGTCAAGTACAATCACAGTGAACCTCGGGAAATGTCAGGCGCTAATTTTCTTTTAATTTTTCTTACAGTTTTTCTCCGATACAGTACGAAGAAATCTGTATGACGTTAATTTTAGCTTAAATTGAGTCTCTTAATTACATTTTTTTATTTTTTTTATTTTAATCAAATATTTTACGTAATTATTTTATTCAACAAAATTGTTTTCAGATCTGTGTCTTGTTAAAGTTTTAGATTAGTTAAACTTTACTTCAACAAAACTATCTTTTCCGTGTAATTTGATTACATACATAGTTATTATAGTTTCTATTAGTAATAATTTCGAAAATATATATTATTCAATTATTATGTTATTAAAAATTTATTCAAATATAATATGTTTAAAAGTTAATAATTTTTAAGTATATTGATTATTGTTATACTCATAAAAAAACTCTAAAACTGACGGGTTCTAATATATGTAGCAGCAAACAGACTGCAGCGATATGTAAGAAATGTGGAGTGGGAAATATTTGCGGGACAAACAGAGCGGATGGAATGTCCGGAAGAAATCAAGATCTTTCTTGAAGTCTCTCAGTGAATTTCAAGCGACGGTACTAGCAAACTTTTCTGGAAAATAGCTCGCATATTCCGATACGCAAGCGATTACGAGTGATTCGGTATAATAAATATTGCACCAACGTCTAGACTCGTTTTTACGCTTAAATGCTCAACAACGAATAAAAATGACACGACATATAAAAATGATATACTTCCCCTCGAAGACTCTCGACAGACACTGAACATCGCGTATTACATATATTTTACAGTCTATGTAAACGCAAAGGAAGATTCATGGAACGAAATAAATTACTCCAAGTTCCAAACTCAGTCGGGTGTAACTATTTTGAAATCCAATTTCCGAACAACTCTTCAACTGACGCATTCAATTTCAGTTAAAAATTTGTCTTCGCGCCGCGATTTACGTAGATCATTCTCGTGGTAATATAATAATTAGAGTTTAGAATTCCAAACGAATATTCAAACGTTTGAGTAATTGAATATTCCTTTTTCCCCGATGCGAATTTCTTTCCTGAATTTAAATGACTGGATAAAAGGAATTTCTGTAAATTAACTGGCTATACGGTTGCAAATTTCTCGAATCGTTTTTCAAATCTATTCTTCTCTCTCTTGATCGATCTTTATTAATCTTTAATCTTTCTTAATCGGTATACTTTCGCCGATTGTATAACCGAACGCGAAGCGCGATTATTAAATTAAGCGTACTCATCGAGCGAGCAAATCGACGATCGACAAGCCGCTCAACGACGCTGTGTGCTTAATCGGGTGAAACGTGCACTTGCGATCAGACGGCGAACGCCAATCGCTGCGTCCAGCACCTGCAGCATCCCCGTGCTGCTGCGCATACGATCGCGATTTATGATGTTCATCGCAGCAGTGGGCGCGACAAAAAAGCGCTCCACTTTCGCTTCTCCATATTCAAGTCTTTGTAACAACACCCAATACTCACTCTCGTTCACACACACACGCGCGCATCGTCTACAGCAGCCGAATAGGTTACCAGTATCGATTGGACATTAATAATTCAGCCAGGGAGCGCCGATAGTAAACTTTTACTTATTCAAAGGCGTGACACTTTTTCAACCGTCTTTGATTCGACGAACGATAAGTCGTAATTAAATTCTAGCGTTTGCTAAAGAAAGAAGAAAAGAAAATTATATGTATGTAAAATTATGACATTTTAGACATTAATACATTGTCACTGTAAAAAACAAACATGTAATATCATAAAGTTAAATATTTGTTTTACTAAACTGAATATATTTTATTATGTGAAAGAGAACCCTTCTTTCTCTATTCTATATCAATATTCTACACAAAAGATAAAGAACACTTGATAACAAATGAATGTTGCAAAATATGCAATTTTGTTATATTATGATTAAAAATAATTCGTATTCTTATACAGATGTTTAATCCTATATCCTTTTCTCTCATCGCACTTTAATTTTTATTAAAAATCTTAAATAGAAAATATAAATATAAACTTGATGAATAGATCTCTCTTCCAGTTTGTGACGAAAGCAATTATCTGCCTTATACGAGGGAGAAAGAGAGAAAGAGAGAGAAAACATTTTTTCTTCAGCCATGTACAAGAAATCGTTTACGGGCCATATAATTCTCTTGCGTCCCTTCATCCCTTGACGTTAGAGGTATCTTATGACTTAAGTATGTCAAGAATTTAGCCGTGGGCCGTTTTCACTAATAGCACACGATAATTGCTTCACCACGCGTTCGTTCGCGCGATTACGTCACGGAATGAAGCGTGTCAAAAGCACGGCCCATTACATGAATTATATAAATTCTTTTTAATATCGACATCACCGAATTAACGACCACGTAGTTGCAATCAATCGCAGGACGAAGATAAAAAAATGACACGTGCTTTCCATCGCTCTTGAATTATCGTGTGCTCAGAAAATGTTCTGGTTAAATCTATATTAAAATTCTAGTTGAGACAAGTAATCTTGATTTAATCAGAATTTTCTGCGGTTCGTCCATTTTCAACCAAATATTTTTAAAAAATTAAATAAATAATAAAATCGCGGTTGAAATAATCTTATTTACACAAACAAGCTTTTTTATTTATATATATATATATTTATTTATTATAGAATTATTATTGATTTAAACATTATTCAGGATTTATAAGAAATGTCAAAAATTATCTACAATGTTTTTAGTGCCGTAAAAGCGACTTACTAACGCGGTTACGTATTCTTCGATTTTTTTCTCGCCGGCCTTCTACTTAATATAAAACCTGCAGTCCCCGTTGATTGCGCAATGATTACGAATGATACATATTGAATGACAAGAATCGCGTCTCACCGCAGCTTTCTAAACTTTTTTTTATCCAGCCATCTACCTCCCACTTGATAACGGATGATGACACCCGAACTCACGTCCATCAGAGCGATGAATAGCAGGAGAAAACACGCAAGTGCACTTATTTACTTTCTTAGGACATGGTATATTAACGGGACAACTTATTAATAATGCATAAAAAAATATGAGATGAGCGATCAGCGCATGATAAGGATGTTCGAGACTAGTTTTTCATTTGTAAAAATAAACACGTAATTTGGGATAAGTCAATATTAAAAAATTCTTAATAATAAAAATTAAAGAAAATAAATAATAAATAATATTCTAACTCGTAAATATGATAATACGGTATTCACAATGATTAATACGAAAACTGATGGTTCCAGATTCTGCGATACATTTTACATTAGATAACATTAAAGAAGGTTAAAATTGTCAGATCCATCTTTCTGTGTTTATTTTCTATATTAGACTTTAATGCTCTGCAACGTGAAGCGATGATAAATTGTAGTATATGAAATATTCTATCTTGTAAAGCCGTCGCGATATAGATACATATGTATATAGACGTATCGGCTTTCGAGTATCACAACGAGGTCAAACTTGATCCATGATATTTCGTAAAGATTATTAGAGTAAGCGGTCGATCGGTTAGAGTTTATTGTTTTATTTATCTTTTTCTTTATGTGTCATCAGGTCTTCGTAAAAGTATAATATCCTCTCTATAAAGAGGGGTATAAGAGTAATGAAAATCAAAATTGCTTTCTAAGCGTCGTTAATGTAATTTATTATTGGGGTCACAATATGACCTCATCATGATTACCCAAATTTAACCGTAATAATTGAGGGTTAAACTAGTTGATTTTCATGTACGTGCACGACGAAACAATAATATGCCGCGCGTTTCCGCAACATTACGAGACTCGAAGCGTTATAAATGGTTGATTCTAATCGCGCGGATGCCAGTATTAATCATCACAGTGGATCACATAGTTCATTCGTAAAATCAAAAAGATTTATCGATACCGACCGGTCAATCGGGGCGTGAATTTTTCAAAAGAAAAACACAGCATGCAAACAAACGCAAAGCAAATTCTAAAAACAATAAGCAAGTAATTTTGATCCTTGCTTTTAAAATAAGATTTGATTCATAAAGAAAAATAATTTTGTAATAATATAATTTGAATTTAAATCATTTCTTCAAATTCAGTTTCAATTGCACACAAAGATAATAACTTTAATAATTTCATTTTTCTCTTTATATTACGTCTTTTGCTATTATTATTCAATTTCAAATTTTTAATTAAAATATTATCTTTTTATTACCCACATCAAAAACATATATGTATTCTCTTTGAAATTGTATTTGACATATTTATCGTCATGTATTTTACAATTTATCTAAATTAAAAATAAAGCATTTTATGTTTTGG